TGAACCAGTCCAAACTGGTAGAATCCCACCCCTGGTCATAGCTAAGGTTGTCTGAGCTCCCTGGTTTGGTTGAAGCTTGGCTGATGTAATGTGCTTAGGAGATTGTGCCATGTGGTGAGCTCTGCTGCAAGATGGGTTAATCCTATTATATTGTGTCCTGGAGGGCCATGTCACCCTGGAGCTGGAGGTCTTTTGTCTTGTACAAGGATCTGCCACCTTAAACACTCAAAGAGCCATTTGGACCCATTTCCCACAGAAAACACCAGGAGCCACAAAACCTAGTTTGGCATGGCTAACTCGATGTCACTCCCACCCAGTCACATGACACACACCCCAGCCATGCCTACCAAAGTTTTGTGGCTCCCAGTATTTTCTTTTCTTTAGGAAACAGGTATCTCTCTCTCTCTCTCTCTCTCTCTGTGTATCTCTGTTTCTCATCTCTTTCTGTCTCTTTCTCTCTCTCTCATCTCTCTCTTTCTCCCTCTCTCTCTTTCTTTCTCCCTCTCTCTTTCTCTCCCTCTTTCAGAACATTTCCTCCTTACTAAAAGTGTGTGATCACTCTAAGTTGTTAAAGCTCAAGATCAGTACATCTACTCTCTTAATCTTATGGTGATGGGTAGATTTTAGATTCATAAATTCATTCTCTTTTAGTTTTTAGTTTATGGATCATAATTCCCTAAGTATTTTATGATAAATATATTTTACATTATTAAATTGGGAATATCTTTAAAAAAACAAGGAGAAAAATAATAAATAATTTGCACCCTGCTGTTGTCTCAACTGTTGGAATAATTCCTTCATTTCCTCATCCCAGCTCTTCTTATAGCGTTTATTCTTCTGGATCTCCATTTCTATTTGTCCCAGTTATTCCAGGTTGGTTGTTGCTTCAGGTTTTGGAGAAATTTTCAACACTTAATATTACTGTCCTAAGAGAATGTGTTAAAAGGAGTTGGCATCATAAAGTGTGATTCTAGAGAGAAAGAGAATAGAGATACCACTCAGCATATTCCGAACACTCACCAAATGGAAATGTCTATGGGGATTTTCAATCAGCCAGGACATGGTTATCCCAAAGGTGCTTTTTCAAAAGGCAACTGGATTTTCTTTGTTTTTCTGGAAGACATTTCGCTTCTCATCCAAGAAGCTTCTTCAGTTCTGGAGCTTTTTGGATGTGAAGGGAAACATCTTCAAGGAAAAACAAAGAAAGCCCAGTTGTTTCTTGAGAAAAGCACCTTTGGGACACCAAATGGAGAGATTTCTTCTGCTGGAAAGAGATCTGTTGGTGTTTCTGGACACTAATTTTTTTTTTTTTTTTGACATTTGTGTATCATGGATTTTTCCCACTTCCCATAAAATCTCTGCTGCTGAGTATCATGAAAACCTTGGCTTCCTTCATATCATCTTTACTCTTTTTGAATCTCTTAAACATATTTTTTTCTATCCTTATCATTCATATTATAGTACTTCTAAATCTTCTATTATCTATTCTATTATAGATTATACTCTCCACAGATTCATCCCCATCTCATGTTTCTTCCTAATGCTTAAATAACAGCTCCTTTCCTGATGAAATGTATTATTTTACTAAACAAATGTATTGTTTAACAAATGTATTTCTCTCAGAGAACCTTATTTAATTAATCTATAAATATATTTGATTCATTTGTTAGAAGGATTTGTTAGATAAAAATTTGGATGCCTTATTTCCTACTTGTCACACCCTGAATTACCTATACCAGTATCTCTGTTATGTTCTAAAATAGGGAAAACTTTAAAGGTGGATTCAAGAGCCACTGTTAGGTGAAGCAACAATGCAGAATGATTGAGTTAGTATCATGCATCATCAGTTGGTGGGATCTCCAACCAAAGGCGGTGGGGGGCAGGAAGTCATTTTGGAATTTAGTTATTTAAACATGACAAATCTCTTACACAGCTTTTAATGTTGCTTCTGGATTTTTCCTGCTTCCAAGGAAGATAAAGTTCAGCAACATAGAGAGATGCACCCTATATCGAGTTAGGCTTGTTCTAAAAAGGAATTGAAGATCAAAAACTAGCTAAGAAAGCAAATGGTAAAAAGCAAAGTAGAGCAAAGTTGTATTACTCAATTCTTGAAAAGGTAAAACATCTGAGGTTGCAGTCTTATTTTGTTCAGAGGGAGAGAAAATATTTAACTCTTTCAAGTCTAAATGCAATCAACGTCTTCTCCTCCTCTTCCTCCTTTTCCTTCCCTCTTTCTATTTCCCCTTCTCCTTCCTTCTCCTTCTCCTTCTTCTTCTTCATTCAGGAGATGTATAAGAATTTCCATATCATTTCCAAAGCCAGTTTGGTCTAGTGCTGAAGGCACCAGGCTAGAAACTGTGAGACTGTGAGTTCAAATCCCACCTTAGGCTGATGACTTTGGGAGAGTGTAAAGACTTTATATTGCAAAAAGGGTTTAGTCCATTTCTCCCAAATCTTCCTATCACCCATTCAAGGTTTACATGTCTATTTTCTAATGAAAGATTGGAAAAGTGAAAATTATTTACAGAATAAAACAACAAATAGTCCTGTAGCATATCATGGCATCAGGGTTTGTCAAATCTACTTAATAAATTGATTAGTTTTCTCTGCAAAGAACAGAGAGACAGAGAAACCTACACACAAAGAGGTTTAATAGCAAATTCAGCAATAGCACCCTCAAGATCAAACTGATTAAAATCAAACAGCAGGGTGATGATTTCTTAAAAAGAGAAGACAATAGCAATTCATAAAAGTCACAGGAACCCGGTTATTAAAAACTCCAGAAAATTAATTCATATTCTAATCTGGTCCTCAGATGACCACAACAATAGATGGAAAAATTGGCCAAGAAAGAATTTAACACTATGGAATTTTTTAGCCCTGGAAACAGACATGGACAGAACATCGAAAAGTATAATTAAGATTGTACCTGTCGTGGTGTAACAATCTTTCTTTGGCCTTCTGTGTCCACCTCTGAAATTTTACACCCTTTATAGTCACTCAACGACACTGGTGGGTGTGCCTTCTAAGTGAAATTGTCCCATAAATGGTTTGGTATTAAGCTTTTTCTTCTTTAAGGAATTATCTAGACAATGCAAAACATTTGTTTTGCAAAAATTTCCTCAAGTGAAAACATTAAAGAATACTTAGTTCAATTTCCCCCTTCCGCAGGGGGAAATATTGTTTTGGAGAAGAATTCTCATTAGAAGCATTTCAAGCAAAAAATGACTGTGTTTGTGTGTGTGCATGTATTTAAACTATGTGGACTCCTAGTTGAGGAGGAACCGGTCTTACAATGGTCAGATTTCACAAATTGTGTGGTTTCTGATATACAGGTGAAACTCAAAAAATTAGAATATTGTGCAAAAGTTCATTTATTTCAGTAATGCACCTTAAAAGGTGAAACTACTATATGAGATAGACTCATTACATATAAAGCAAGATAGTTCAAGCCGTGATTTGTCATAATTGTGATGATTATGGCTTACAGCTCATGAAAACCCGAAATCCACAATCTCAGAAAATTAGAATATTACATGCAATCAATAAAACAAGGATTGTACATAGAACAATATCGGACCTCTGAAAAATAGAAGCATGCATATGTACTCAGTACTTGCTTTGGGCCTCTTTTGCAGCAATTACTGCCTCAATGCAGTGTGGTATATAAGCTATCAGCCTGTGGCACTGCTGAGGTGTTATGGAAGACCAGGATGCTTCAATAGCGGCCTTCAGCTCTATGGGGTTCAGGTCAGGCGAGTTTGCTGGCCAATCAAGAACAGTAATCCCACGGTCATTGAACCAGGTTTTGGTGCTTTTGGCAGTGTGGGCAGGTGCCAAGTCCTGCTGGAAAATGAAGTCAGCATCCCCATAAAGCTCATCTGTGGAAGGAAGCATGAAGTGCTCCAAAATCTCCTGGTAGACGGCTGCGTTGATCCTGGACTTAATGAAGCACAGTGGACCAACACCAGCAGATGACATGGCTCCCCAAATCAACACAGACTGTGGAAACTTCACGCTGCACTTCAAGCATCTTGCAGTGTGTGCCTCTCCATTCTTCCTCCAGACTCTGGGTCCTTGGTTTCCAAATGAGATACAAAAGTTGCTCTCATCAGAAAAGAGGACTTTGGACCACTGAGCAACAGACCAGTTCTGTTTTTCTTTGGCCCAGGTAAGACACTTCTGATGTTGTTTGTTGTTCAGGAGCGGCTTGACAAGAGGAATACGACATTTGAAGCCCATGTCCAGGATCCGTCTCTGTGTGGTGGCTCTTGATGCACTGACTCCAGCCTCAGTCCACTCCTTGTGAAAATCACCAACACTTTTGAATGGCCTTTTCCTGACAATCGTCTCCAGGCTGTGGTCATCCCTGCTGCTTGTGCACCTTTTTCTTCAACACTTTCCCCTTCCACATAACTTTCTATTAATGTACTTTGATACAGCACTTTGGGAACATCCAACTTCTTTTGCAATTACCTTTTGAGGCTTTCCCTCCTTATGGAGGGTGTCAATGATGGTTTTCTGCACAACTGTCAGGTCAGCAGTCTTTCCCATGATTGTGATTCCTACTGAACCTGACTGAGAGACCATTTAAAGGCTCAGGAACCCCTTGCAGGTGTTATGGCTTAATTAGCTGATTAGAATTAGATACTTTGAGCCTAGCATATTGAACCTTTTCACAATATTCTAATTTTCTGAGATTGTGGATTTGGGGTTTTCATGAGCTGTAAGCCATAATCATCTCAATTATGACAAATCATGGCTTGAACTATCTTGCTTTGCATGTAATGAGTCTATCTCATATATTAGTTTCACCTTTTAAGTTGCATTACTGAAATAAATGAATTTTTGCACGATATTCTAATTTTTCGAGTTTCACAAGGGTATTCCATACCTTATTGTCTTGCTCAAAACATTTCCTTCCTACCAGGTGCCAATTAACTATGAGGAGAACAGCCTCCATGCAGCCTTCTGCTCCTTACACGTTCTCTACCTGAATCTAAAAGAAGACCTAAGGATAGATCCCAACCCCTGGAGTTTCCTCCAAGTGACATTATTGAAAGTTTGCAACAAAATGTTGGTTTTTCTTTCAGGTTTTTATTTTTGTTTCTGTTTTTATTGAATCAAAACTAAATGTATTCAGGTTGTGTTACAGACAAGAAATCAACTTCAGCTTCACCTCTTGCATCAGCAATGCCATTTTACATCTTCCATGCTCCTTGGAAGCCAGAAATAAAACAACACTAAGAGGGCAATCCTGAATTTACTCACAATTAGATATTTCATTTTTAATCAAATCATTATTATTGCTTATTTTATCATGACTAAAAGCTTCATTCTACTACAAACAAAATATGCTGGCAACATAGCCCTGCGTTTCTGCTTTCCTCTGTATTCCTTTTTCTTCAAAATTTTACTTTGGAGTGGAAGCAACTTTTTCAAAATGAAATAACATGATGTCAGTACCTCCTCCTTTACAAAGACCAACAGGCATGTTTGGGTGAATCGAGGTACTTATGAACCAACCAGGGAATGCTGCAGATTCAAACCAGCAATTTGATTTGTTGGGTGCAGTGACAACATAGAAAGAAAAATCCTTCAATTCCTCAGTGTCTCTATAAAAATCCATGATGTTTTTTTCCTGAAAAAAATACAAGGTTTGGTTTGGAGAGCTGCAGGATTAACTACTTCTGTTTTAATCCATACATTACTTGTTAAAAATAACACCAATAAACAAAGAAATAACAACAAAGGAAAAATTTAAGGCATGATAAAATAAGCAAACAAAAGACAGCTACATTTTACTTTTAAAACAGCACTGTAAAAAAGAACAGGTACAGTTTTAGTGATATATCCCACCTATTCTTATTATTATGATAATTGATTGCACGGTCAGCCAGAAGTTTAGATTGGATTTATCTTTTTTGTCCACCTATCAAGTCTTTCCTAAGGTCTTGGGATAAGCAGATGCTGTTCTTTAATGATGTCAAAGGTATCATCACAGGATGTAAGTTGTTCCAAGTAAAATTGCTTTTTGTAATTGACTGATGGTTATTTTATCAATTCCGATGGTGTTCAGGCTATTGCTCTAATTGTTTTGGGATTGCGCCCAAGATACCCCTTACTATTGGTACTGCCTTCGCTTTATTTTTCCACAGTCACTCTACTTCTATTTGCAGGTCTTTGCTTGCTTGTTTGTTTAATTTATATGCCACCCATCTTATCAATAAGGAAGGCAATGAATACAATTCCACTTGTATTACAACTGCTGAGCACAGTTTACATAGTTGAACTTGGCATCAAACATTAGTAGTTGTTGTTAGTTTCTATTTGAGTCTCAATGCCAGATGTCTAATTCTGCTTTGCTGTGTGATATAGTATATTTAAGGGAGTCATTCTTACTTCAATTTAAGTTCAAGTTAAAATTCTATCCTGAAAATTTCCCAGTGATATCTTCACCACAAACCATTTTTTCATCAGTAAAATAAGGCTACAATTTCATTTTAGAGTAGAGTAGAGTAGGAATAGAGTAGAGTAGGGTAGGAATAGAATAGAATAGAATGGAATGGAATGGAATGGAATGGAATAGATTAGATTAGAATAGAATAGAATAGAATAGAATAGAATAGAATAGAATAGAATA